TTTTAAAGAATCATTTGTTTGAGTATATACAGTATATGTTTTGTTGAAAATTAATCTAATGAATGAAAATTTTCTTTTGTTCTGAATAAAAACTAATAGCGATGTAGACTGAAAGAATTTGTTCAACATACATACCCTTGGGATATAAGAAACTGAGATAAGTATACGAGAAATATTCTATATCATATTTGAATTGTGAAAAATTCTTCAAACCTTTTCATATAATGGCGAAATACTTCTAAATTCAATTCAAAACTCGTAAATTATTTTCGTAAGTATTGCTATGTATGTTATTATGTGAAAATCTTGTCACAAGATATTCTCTCATTTTTCCAGTAATAAAAGACAACTGGTTAAAATTACAAACACAATTTTTCGCTATTTCCGAATATATGTTCAGAGTTTTCTCCCGAAATATGAAAAATTGTCTGTGCAAAGCAAATTCATGGTTTTGACACAACTTCAAAATTAGCATTATTGTAGAGCATCGAATACTGTACAATAATCGAAATCTCATCTAATAAATAGCACCCTTTATACATCAAAGAAAACTGAGCCATGAAAAACAGTTTCGATCAAAAGATAACATTAACCATAACAGTATCCTGCACAAGCACTGTGTTGAATGTTAGGAAACAAACTGATAATAATCTTACTTCAGAAAGAAATTCCGAGCACATATCTGGAAAAAGTAGAACATTCTGGCTTTAACCAACCAAATATTGAGTAAATACTTAGCGTCATAGGTTATAACAATTTGAGAATTCCCTGGAGTTTGAAAATAAACATAAGACATACACAAATGCCGCAAGTACAAGTGTTATACTTGTACGTATAGTTGAGTATGAAAAACAGGATTTTACACATTTTATTGGAGATCTAGATCAAATAAATTTCGTCAATAACGTTCCCTATGTCTGACAGATTTTAAAGATCATCGTATATCCTTCAGATGATCAAAAGTGTGGCAACAAAAAAAATTTTTACTGCTATACGCTGATGAATTTACTGCATCTCTCTTACAAAAAAAGAATGTCTTCATTGATTGCATTTCTTTGAAATTATGGTGAACATCTGAATAGGATGATACTCGTTTCACTTAGTTATCAGAGTAAAAAACTCTGTTGTCATGTTTTGTTCATGAGAAGATATAATGATAATGTTTAAAAACTTATCAGATTAGGCAAAATTATTGACAAACTTTATGTTACCTAGATCTCAAATAAAAAGTGCAAAGTTCTCTTTTTCGTACTTAAGTATAACTACAAAAGTACACCTGATGAATATTTGTACTTTTACTTGAAAAAATACGCAATGTACAAGTGCAAATATTTTCGTTCGAGTTCTATTTACGTAATATTATGTGAGATTAAGTACTCAAAAATACTATTTTATAGTATAGCTAAGTTCATTAGCTGTTGAAAAAATACCAAATTTTTTAAGCTAATCTTTGGCCGAACTACACATCTGTTCCATTGCTATTGTACGAATTGTTTTAATAATAATATCAAGCTTGCAATGATTCTCAATAATTTAAGTCTACTCAACATGCCAATAACTAGACATGCAGTCTGAAAATTTTAGATTAGCATGCTGTTTTCTTATAGCATTATTAAATTTTTACAAGAGACCAAAAAAGTAAAGAAATTATTTCGTTCTCATATAGGTTTCAAATTTTTTGTTTTGGATTTTTGTTTTTCTGAAATTATTCAAAAAATGAATATTGTGAGCTTAGGAATTACATTTTTTGAGAGACTAAGTTTCTTTCAGATACCATTTAAGTCATCAGTACAATGAATTAGAACATTTCGAACGAATGATTATATTCACAACGTGTTTGCTTATATACTATAAAAAAAACTGCACAGTTGCATTTATTGGTGACCTCTAGTGCATTCTTTTGACTTGGTACAAATAGTTGTATACCTTCAAACCAACCATTATTTGATTTTAATTATTCATTATCAAATGTATCTTTTGATTTCCATTTATGTCATGATTGGCTTGCAACTACCTTTTTATCTCATCTGTTGCTTTCATATTGATAAACTTGTATCACTTCTCTAGTTATCAATAAATCAAATTTTGTAAACACGAAATGTTTTATTGTTATTTGAAAAATATTAAGTATTTACACATGACGATAGATAAAGAGAATGATAAACGAAGAAATTGGGAAGCTTCTTTTCCTTTGTTTTAGATAATAAAAAATAAGAATAATCGAAGTAATGATTTTTGTTATTTACAAAATATATAGGTTACAAAAAAGTAAGTCAAAAGGATGCAAACATGTGTAGAACAGTTAACGAGAAAGAAAAATAAAAATAAAAGTGATTCAATCTATAATGACTTCAATTTTTATAACAACCCTTTTAAGTAATTTATGGACCATAAATCATATTTCCAAAAAAACAAAACTATTTATATTATTTACTGTGGATCAGAAGAAAGAAATCATCTCGTTCCTCAATTATAAGATATATATACGAGCAGAATAGTAAATAATTGTAGTTTAAACATTGTGACATAGTCGTAGATGTAAATACTATGATCAAGTCGAGTCATCGAAAATTTTATTTTTTGAAAAATTGCGATATAATTGCACGTTTAATCAGCTTAATAAATTACGATACAATCATCCATTTTGATGACATAGAAATCTTTTAGCTCTTTTCTAGTATATCATCAATATATATTGAATTAAGTTTACTCAATGATTGTAACATTAACTCAGAAGTAAAAATAAATAAAAAAGACTTTGCATAAATAAGAAATTCAATGAGTGAATGAGAAGAAAATGAAAGTGGATTTATTGTATTAAAAAGAAAGATTTATCCTTTGTTGTTGTTAATACTTTACAATATTTCAAAAACAAATTACTATACTGACAATGTATTTGCATATCTAGGTCTTAAAAGAAGTTGATGAGCAGTTTGCATTTTTATGTTTTTCAATCAGCATCATTTTCATATAGTAAATATCGAACAATTTTTTGAATTAACTAAAACGAAACCGCTTCTTATATCAGTTCGATATGAAAATTAATATCGAAAATCTACGCAATTTTTCATGCTCTACCAAATAACATAGTAATCATGTTTATTTTTAACTTCTCTCTTAGATGATACAGGATCAAAGGAGTACGATATCGTACTCATTGGATTCTGTATAATCTAAAAGTGAAGTTAAAAACAGACAGGATTACTATGTCATTTTGTAGAGCATGATAAATTGTGTCGATCTCCATATTAGCTTTCATATTCGATTTATAAAAGAAAAAAATGACAGGTACTATAATTATTAATCAAACATTCAAAAGTAATAGACTCTTCAGACTATTTAGCCTTCGGAATTTTTCTTTTTAGTATTCAACAAAAAACTAAAATAAATGGAAAAAAATATGCAGAATTTTGTGCTCGATCATTCTATTCTATTGAAAATGAAATTTAAGTAGTAAGAGCTTTATGACCTTATCCAATGGTGTACTTAATCGCTTCCTATTTCTATACTTATTTGAATCAGGTTGTGTAGTCGATTGTAAGTTATGAGATCTTATGTAATCTTTTTTTTTTAAATCATTAAGAATACAAATCATATCTTTTCTTGTCTTAGCTGATTGATATAAGAAACTCCATACTTCTAAAGATATTGTGAGTTTTTTAGAGCGTATTTTTGCGTTAATGGAGGAAAAATTTTATTCAATTAATTAATTATTGACAATATCTGATTGTACGGAAAAAAAACTAGATAAAATATGACATTCTATCATTTTTAATTATTTTATTAATTGTTTCTAAGACATTCAATGGCGAATGAAGACAAAGAAGCACTGGTCCTCCCGTTTCGAAAAAAAATTTTCTCGATTTTTTTCTAACAGAAAAGACTAAAAAAAATGAACTATTACTACCTCAAAGAAGCTTCAACATACGTTTTATGCCCATGATCGCCCTCTATCATAATAACCGTAGATCCACTACTGACGACATAGCTAGTATTTAATGAGCAAAGCCATACACTTTGATAAAAATCATCATTTGAATTTAGCCGTTTAGCATTTAAAAAAATATTTTGTTTGAAGTTGAACGAATCTATTTTTTTTTTAATTTATATTCAACCATTTCAATTTCTATGTTTGATCTTAGCATTAATATACACTTAAGTAATTTTTTATTTTACTGTTTGTTTAATTTATTAATACATTTAAATAATTAATAAGTAACCATTTTCAGTTAATTACTAATTTTAAAAATTATTTCACCTACTAATCATTTAAATGATAGTCAATGAAAAACATAAAATTCAAAATATTGTTATTTCAATCATATTTTTATGTTCTTGTTTCGATTTTTTGTAGTTCTTAGAATTTGTTGTAGCTTTATTTTTTTACAAAAATATTATTTCTTCTTCAAATGATTCTGTAGTTTGACCTGACCTTTTCTTCTATTCTAGAGACTTATAGTCGACAATACTAGTTGTACACCGGTTTTTTTTCTTTCCTTCTTTCAACGAGTCTAGAATGTATTATGAAAAGAACTTATCGTTTACACGTTTTGTTCCCATTAGTCAAATGTTTGATCAAAGTTGATTATTTTTTTTTCTTCAGGTAAAATGATCTCGTATGATTGTCAATAAAAAAGAAACGAATCGGATATAAGGTATAAATATATACACTATTGTAATGGCATATGACTCGGCATTTGTCTAGCACTATCTCTATCTCAAGCGATAAAATAATGCATTTATATTTTTGAAATATAACATTCCTACTATTTTACCCGTTCTTTATCATCTAATGAAAGAAAATACTCTCGTCATCATAGTTATTTTACATATAACGAAATCATATCAATAGGAATCGTTGTTTTGCATCTTTGTCCTTGTGTTTTTATTGTGTCTTTGTATATAACCGACCAATGATATTTTTTCCTTTTTCTTTTTCTGTCACATGTACCAAGATTCAATTATTTATTCCTTGTTTTAGACACAAAAAAACAACAAAAATGGCAACAGCAATACTTTCAGAAGAAGATTTTGAAGACGATTATGATTTCAACAATGATTTTGATGATTCTAGGTATTCATTTTGTTTTTTTGTAAACGAAAAACAGCAATCGAATTTTTAATATGCTATTTTTCTTTTTGTAATAGTGATACATTGGATTATTCGCATCGAAATTTAAATGAAATAGATATTAATCAATTATTATCAACAATTGAAAATCCAAATCATATAAAAAATTTTCAATTAAATTCTAATACACTTTTTACTGTACCGAATGAAATTAAAAAATTTCAATCATTAATAACACTTGAATTATCAAATAATCAATTAGTTGAATTATCACATGATATTGGATCTTTAAAAAATTTAAAAAATTTATATTTAAAAAATAATTCTCTTGATGATTTATCATTTCCAAAAGAAATTCAAGAATTAAAACAATTAGAAGTTATTAATTTAGGTGGAAACCGTTTTAAACAATTTCCTTATCAATTATTTCAACTGATTAATTTAAAAGAAATTTATTTGGGTTCAAATCAAATATCTAATTTACCCGATCTATTTCAAACATTAACCAAGTAAAAAAAAAAAAAAGAAGAATTAATTTTATATATTTTATATTATTTTTATATAGAGTTGAAGTACTTTATTTGGGTGGAAATCGAATTGGAAAAATACCTGATTCAATTGGATCTATGCATTCATTAGTTGTTTTGAATTTATGTGACAATCGTTTAAGAACACTACCACGTTCGATTTCTCGTATGATAAAAAAATTGTTTTTGTTTTAAACAAAACAAAAATCTTTATTTTTTAAGGTTTAACTCAGTTAAAATCACTTTCATTGCATAATAATCAATTTTGTGCTTTACCACCCGATATCATACGTCTTGATTTACAAGAATTAAGTTTAAGAAATAATCCACTTGTTGTACGTTTTGTTCGTGATTTAACATATGATGTTCCATCATTAAAAGAATTATCTGGTAGAACAATAAAACTTCATAATATAAATTATGATGATAAATCAATACCAAAATCTCTTGTTGAATATTTAAATTCTGCTAAATCATGTTTAAATCCGAAATGCAAAGGTTTGTAATTTTGTTTTTCTTACAAAATAAAATTCTTTACAAATTTCTTATGTTTTTGTTAATTTTAGGTGTTTATTTTGAAAGTTGTCATAAAAATATCAAATTTGTTGATTTTTGTGGTAAATTTTACTTACCATTACTTCAATTTCTTTGTTCACCTGCATGTACACCAACATCAACATGTCAAATGACAACAACAACAACAACAACAAATTCGGATGACATGAGTAGTAAATTTAAAAAGGTGCTACTTGGTTAATTGTTCAATATTATATTTGTGTATGGTCAAATTTATTTGTAAAAATTGATGAAAAGAAAATCTCTTTTTTTTTTTGTTTATCATCAATTGTTATGTAGAGTGGAAATATAATGAAATTCTACTATGTTCAATGTCTTTTTTGTTTATGTTCCATCATGTATTTCAAATTCCTTTGTTTTTGTCTTTTCTTTTTAAATCTTGCAAATAAAAACAAGGCAACAACAAAAGACGACAACACAGATTCAAGAGACTCCAATGTAAAAAAAAAAAAAAGAAAGTGTGATGTGTGCGAAATGAAACAACGACGGTAAATAGAAACAAAAACAAGAACAGAATATAATGATCACACATGTAAATAAAGTATATTGAAGAAGTGTTTTAAGGATAAAAATAAAGAACATGTTAAGCATGCAGAAATATGATGTGAAGGTATCTAAGCTGTAATAATAATGAATATTATGAATCTATATATGAGAATGAGTAGAATTTTATGATGTTGAGAAAATAAATAACAACAAAAAGAAAAATAGTAAAATAACAACAACAGCAACAGTTTGCTATTGTGGTATGATGGTAGCACAATATGTTTAAAAGAAATAAATAGTTTCATATCAACTATACACACACGCGCAAAACAGAGTGATCAATGCCTATTAAAGCGTTCAAATATATGTATATATATATATAAATAAACAAAATGATTTCTTTCACAGAAATTCTAGAGAATATAAATTAGTATATCCTTAAAAAAAAGAAAGATTTTAGTGTGCATATATTTATAATTCTATTTTATTAATTTTCGTGATTATGTTCATTTTGTTGCTGTTCTAATTGAACTGTTGTTGATGTTCTATTTGATGATAATTGTCGCTTATTATGATTAAAATCATTATTGGGTATTTGTTTTGTTGTTGTTTCTTCAGCTTGTTTTGATTCATAATATTGAAAATCATCAAATATTGATGTTTTATGACGATACATATGTAATGTTTTTAACATTAATTTACCCTTGTCATATGGTATTTCTTGTGTATCTCGAGAATTAGTCACCGGTTTATTTTCATTATTTTCCAAACGTATATTACGAAATTGTTGATTTGGTACATCTTTAACATAAATCCATTTAACTTCAAATTTACCTTGCCATTTATTTGACATTTGCCAAACATCTGTTTGATGTTCATAATCAACAGGTGACATCATTTCAGCCATACCACAAAAATGTCCAGATGCATTAACAGAAAAAAATAAATAAACTGGACCTTTCCCTTCACGTTCACGAAAGGCACTATCTAAACGTTTATTTCCATGTTCAGTTGAACACCAAATATTATATTTTATTGAACGATGTACATCATCTTCCGAATACTAAAACAAAGCAAGAAAATCTTTTTTTTTTATTTCCAAAAATTTTTATTTATTTTGTGAAACATGATCTAAAAGTATTGAAGTAGAGAACTAGAAATTTGAATATACTGTTCCCTAGAGCACGTCAAGTGCGAAATTTTTAGATCTAGTTCGATCATGAAATTTTCTAATCGGAATTGAATAGTTGTCCCGAAGATATGGTATGGTTTTTCTCAGCTTTTTGTATTCAACGACTAATGCATCTTACACATTTTTCAGATGATTAGAGCTCACCGGCTCCAAAGTTTTTAGATTCGTACCCAATGCAATTTGGAGTTGACTTGATCGGCTCAACTGTTCTCTTCTTTCCACCTCATACACATTCTTAAAATCCATAACGGGTCATGAAAGACCTCTTAACAGGGTGCTCTGTCCCCGTTACCGGAAATGTTTATACACAATGGTAGACAATACATCGATAACAAATCGTCTTAATATAGGAAGTACTTTCTTCCTGCATTTCTAAAGGATTAATTAAATGGATGATTAAAAAATGTGTCGGAAAATAGATACAATAAAAGTGTCTTCTTGTGATTAGCGACAATAGTTACACAGCGGGTTTCACATTTTTATCGTGTAGAAATTGGATTAACAACTTTGTAATACTTACAGATTTAATAACAAAAAATCGAGCGCCTTTTGGGTTTAAATTAAAATCTTTTGGATTATATTGATGATTATGTTTAAGTGTTTCAGTACTTTCTTGATTGCCATTTGTTGTACGAGATGATGAATAATTTTGTCGTTTAGTATTATTATTATTATTATGAGATGAACGATCAGAATTAGTATTTGTCCAATTAAGAAAATCTCCACTACCGGATGATTGTTGTTGTTGTTGATGATTACGAGGATTATATCCTGTTGTACTATTACGTAATTGTTGAGTATTCGAACGTGTATTAAAAGTGTCATTAGAAATATGCGATGTACGTTCATTTGTTGAATGAATAGTTAAATTCGAAATAGATGAAGTTGGTTTATTACTAGTTAAATTTATTGTATCAGATGAAACAACGGACGCATAAGACTTTGGACCAGATGATGAAGATGTTTGAGATGGACGTGTGAATGAATGATTACTACTATTTGGTTGATAAGTTTGCTGTTCTGTCAATGATAATACACTAACATTATGTTGTGTATGATCATTTTTACAATTGTCATAATGTTGTATATTATTATTATTACTAAGATCAAGTGAACTAATATGTTGAGCAAGCATATCACCAACACCACCACTAATTGATGGATATTCATCATAAACCGATGGTTTTTTATTTGTCATAGGACTACCACCGATAGGTGGCATTTGTTGTTGAACTCCAATTTGCATTGGTAAACTATGAGAATTCCATGACATGTCAAAAGTAGATGAACCTGTTGATGGTGCACCAGGAAATGTTGATGGTGTAAAAGCAGGATGATAATGAGGATATGCATGAGCTTGTGGATACTCAAATGGACTACGTGACATATCAAGCCCAGATGTTGTATACATTGACGGATGATATGGTAGTGGGGCAGGTGGTGGTGGAATACCAGCTGATGTATCAGTTGATGTCCATTGATTATGTTCATCAAATGTACCAAATGGTTGATAGAGACTTGCAGGATAATATGGATAGAGATCACTTGGATTTTGCATTGGTGACATATTCATAAAATCAAAACGATCTATAGCATACATTTAATATTTAGTCGAATGATCAAATGAAATAAAAAAGAAATTCATTTTTTTTTCTGTCTTTCTCTTTCGAGTATAAAAGTTAACTTGAAACGATTCTTACTTGTGGGATAACCATACTGCATATTAGTCGGTGTTGGGTTATTCGACTGTGGCGAACTATGTTCGTTCATCATGATTATTTATTTATTGTTGTTTTTTTCAGTATAACAAATCAATCATGACTAAAACAAAACAAAAGAAAAATGACTTATAGATTTAATTGAATTACTAAATAAATATTTTTAACATCAATCAAGAAGGATTACAGCTCCTTCTTTTAACATGCAAATGCAATCAAATAAGAACAAAAAACACATAATTATCTTATAGGAAAAATGTCTATTTTTCAATTAAAAGAAAAAAAAAACACGCTTTAGTAAAGCCATTGTATGGTTTTTTCGCTTTTACATTTAGTCACAATTGATTGACTAACGGAAAATGATGATATATATATATAAATAAGCAAATAAATAAACGATGACGAGATGAAAGCGAGTGTAAAAAATTAATAAACCAATCAATACTCATTTCAATTTAGACATATAAATTTATTTCTGTTTAAAAATAATATTATTAAAATAGATTGATTTTTAAAATCCAATAATAAAAGTCTTTTCATACGAACAAAATGCTTGAAAAGAAATAGATGACGCTCTATTTTAACCAATCAAAGAAATAGTAAATTGTTCTGTTCTCGCTTCTCTTTTTTTTTTTTGTATTTTATTGTTGTTGATTGAATTCTCAGACCATCATGGAATATCTTGAAAAGTTAAAAGTTTATGGTGATCAAGTTAAAAATGTTGTTGTTAAATCCATGGTTGATACAGCATGTGGTGGTCAAAAAATGCTCAAAGATGTTTTACCAGGAAATTTAGTGACACGTGAATATGAAGTATAGAATGAAATATTTAAGATAGAATTTTAGAAAAATAATAACTTGTTTCTATTTATAGTTAATTCGACCACTTGGTTCTGCTGGACCTGGTCTTCTATGGCGTATTTATGGAGCTATTAAACGTTCAACTAAACAGGTTCTAATAAAGCAAATTTCTTATTGTGATTTTCTATTTTGTTTTGTTATATGATATTCATTAGAAGAAGAAGAATTAGATGAAATATAAACTATATAGGAATAAAAAATAATGATTATTTATGAGTTTTGATCATGATAGGATTATTAAAAGATTTATAAGTAATTCTAATTAATAAATATGAAAATTTTTCATTTTGAAAAAGAAAAGACTTAAAATATCCATTAAAATAAAGCACCAAGAAAGATGATCTGATTTATTAAAAGTTTAAATGTAGAGAGAGAATAAGTTTGTTAAAATTTTTTGATAATATTACAACCGAACTCGTAAACCCATTGATGTCGACCTAAGTTTAATATAAACATTAGTTTGATACCTTTATTTTTAATATTGAAGAAGTATGTGTAGAATGAGTTTGAGATGGTTCAGCAGGCATATGAACAAATAAGTATATGGAATAGGTTCAAAAACATAGTCTAAACAATGTCGTGTTTCAAGGAAAATCAAAAGAATATTTATTATCAAATGTATTTTTTCGCAAGAATCACATTATGTATTCGTCTGTCCAAAGTTATTTGATCTATAAAGATGTAAACTGGTACATTAATAGGCTGTAGCGATTGCAAATTTTCAATACTTTTGTTAAAACTTTCTCGATTTCATGAAATTTCGATATGCAAGAGGAAAAAAAATGATAAGAAACTAAACAAGAACATCCATTTTTATGTTTCAGCTGTCGCAACTGGAACATTAAAGTCTTGGTGATGTCTCAGTCGATTGACTCACGTCGCTACTTGTCTTACTTGCATATGCATGGAGATATGATTATGGAA